TTCAGAAAATATATAGAACAAAATGCTTTATTCTTCATGAATTTCTTTATACAATCGCGATGTAGTTTTCATTATAAAAATTGCATTTAGTTTAGCGATCAAATATATCCAAACATTAATCTATCCCGATAATTAATCTTTTTATTCCATTAGTGTCTCACTAATCCATTGTATTAATAAGTAGATTAGATATAGACCGAATCGACAAACCATTTTTCCGGATTTTCCGTCACGTAACCCTAAAAATATAAAGTTTCCTTCCTTCCTTTCATTCTTACATCCTCCCTCCATACCGACGAGGAATCCTCCATACCTGACTGTATACACGGTAGATTTACAAATATCTCGATTTATCTGAGCCATTGCTTTCCCATATAAAAAACATTGACAAAACGGGAAAATTTACGACATCCGTCTTTTCTCATCCGCGTACGAGATATTTTTGTTTGCGATGGAGATCTAATCATATTTTATACGGGGAGCTAAGCGAGAGAGGAGCAAGTTACGATGCAATGCCCAAGATCGGGATCAATATCACTTCTGAGGACGTTAAATCACTGTACGTTTTTCGGGTCCTCGACAGGATAACAACTCCTCGAGATATATATATGTATATTTACATCGGCAACGAGTCTATTCCTTCTTCGAACCTTTCAGACCTCTGTTTCTTATAGACGTTATTACTGAATTTATAAAGGAATTCTTTTGAAGTTCGAGAGACGGTTGCCTTTTTCGCTCACCGGTCACACGTGCCTTGAAATTGTGCATATTTATTCTACAGGGTGAATCAACAAAGTTCAATATGTTCAATTCCAAAACTAATTTGATTGTACTATTGTCTTATATAAGAAAAGTTGTGTTGTTATGAAGAATTATCACTTAGTTGATTCGCCCTGTATATTTAGTGTGCTTGAATTTTACAAGTTAATACAGGGTGGTTTAAATGAGGCGAGTAGAAAACAACAAACAAAACATTAGTGATATTTTTTTTAACAAAAAGAAAATTGGAAAAACCATCAAGGGTAATAAAACCTCTATTAAATATCGCGCCGGAAAACTTCGGAAACTTTATATTTTACGGGCGAATGTGTTTACTGGCGGAAGAAAGACAGTAAAGGCCGTAATTCCGTCCCGGTTTTCCCTGTACTTTCGAAATAAACCTTTTAAATTTCACGTGCACATCTTCCCGATAAGGGAAAAGTGAAAAGTTGTGTTGGAAATTATTCGATTCGCGCGATAAAGCCGGAATATAAATAAATATGTCGAAAAACTCCGGAATCTTCGCGACTCCGTTGCCTAATTACGTTTCCGAAACGAGAATTTACGGATTAAAGGAATTTTTGCGAAGGTGAAAACGTATTTAAATCCATAAAAGTTTGCCGAAATCGAATTAGATTATAATTTTTCTGTAAAGGGGAATTTCTATTTCAAAGCAAAGTGAAATTTCTTACTCGAAAAAAAAAAAAAATAACCCCACCTTGTATAATATTTTAAATTGAATTGAAAAACTTTGCTTTCAAACACTATAAAAACAAAATGTTAATAAAAATTAAAAATATAATTACTAAGATAGAATCACTGTAGGTATTTCCTGTATAAAATCCAATTTTAATATATTTCATAATTATTTAATATCCTTTTATATTCTTCAAGTATATAAGGCATGTCCTTGATTCCTCGCTTTGCATTACACATGGTAATTTCGAATCGAGGGGGAGAGAATTCATTAAACAAATCCGTAGGAAACGAAGTTTCCATGATAAAAACTTCATAACCGGAAGGTACGAATTGATATCTATCTGGTAGATAATTAACTAGCAGAACTAGAAATTCCTAATTCAGTTCAAGTTCCGTCTTCAGTTATTCGCTTCCCTATTCTTGAATCGTTAATTAAATGAAGTTTATAGATATAACTCGGAAGTTATATAACTTTAAAGGTGATAAGTCGTTTTTGTGTATCTTAGAGATATTGTAAAATTCCATAGGAATAATGCTTTCCTCCTTTCATTGTCTATATTCAAAGGATTTAAAGGATGGATATCGAAATTAAAAATCTCTGGTATACTCAAAGTATTATCAAGTATACATACTTCAACATATTTTTTATTCAAGATGAAAAATAAGGGAATAAAATTCTCCCCGAAGAACAACTAAAGTATTGCTACATATTTTTTATCTTCTTTATAAGAGGAATCTGAATAGAGTTTTGGAAGTTTTCCGCTCTCGAGCGTAATATTTATGGAGTTGTCGGAGCGCTTTTTCACATCGACAACGTTGTATAGATACATACGCATAATTTCCCGAAAGTTATTGTTGAATTTTTCACGAAACGAATTTCCCGCTACAGAATATTACCGGGGTAATTACAGAAGTTAACCGAAACGCAACAACTTCCTAATCTAATTTGAAATTCATTGCAAAAGGGTTAATTTGAGCGTGAATTCGCCATATACTGAATCATGTAAAAATTTACTTACCTACCTGCTTATTTTTTTTTATTAAGTTATTTAGAATTAACGCGAAAGTTTTCCAATTTTCTTATCTCGAAATCGACGAAAAAACTTCTTCAATTCGTTTCTAATTTAAAACAGTGTATTTCCGATAATAACAGATAATTGCTAGAAAAAAAATTCCCCCAACTTCGTCGAGTACTTCAGAAGTAAACTTCCCTCGAATCGAAAATAAACAAATCCGCCAACGAAATTGACATCTAAAGTTCTATTTCTATTTTATTTTCACCTCGTCGGACAAAAACTTTTTGCTCCGATGAACTTCCACGGAATAAAACTCACCGCGCTCGAAAATTTATGAAAATCCTCCGCAGACATATAAATACCCGTGGGTTAGACCTCATTTCCACTTTCCGAATAAATCGAATGATCGGCAAAAGGACATCGCGAAAGGAGCAATCGCAAGGATATCCCTTAGCGAACCGTAACTTCATAATATCGATCTCAAAACTGTTGCAGTTTCTTCACTTTTAAACAGCCGAGGTTATAAAGGAGGTGTCCCGAAGGGAACCCTTTCTTTTAAGATCCTCAGTTATTGTTAGAGAATATAAATTTCTTAATTCATTCAAACACTCTAAAAAATTTTTTGTCACAGTAAACAAAAATTTATTGGTAACAACTAATTTTGTTATTAAATATAGCGCCAACTGAAAATTTAGTTACATTAACAAACAGGGATTAGTTAAGTTTGTGTTGTAACTGTAACAAAAAAAATTAGTTATTACAAACTATTTTTTTTTCTTAATTAACTAACGTAATAACTTTTATTAAAAATTTTTATAGTGGGATAAACAAATTTATTTAGTTGGGATAACAAACATATTAGTTTATGTAACACTTTTTAATTCCTATTTCAACTTATTTTTTAGTCTATAAGACAAATTTTTATAATAATTTCAACAAACTGTTGTAGTTTGTCGAACAACCTGTTACTCAAATTTCAACCAATCTTTTTAGTTCCAAAAAAAAATTAATTTTGTTTCAATAACAAAAACTTCAATATTAATTTCAACAAAATTTTTAGTTTAAAAGACAAATTTTTGTAAAAATTTTAACTAAAAATTGTAGTTTGTCGAACAAAATGTAATTTTCTGGATAAGCGAAATCAAATCACGCCTTTGTTAGTATAAGTAATATTTTTATTTAACAATACTAAAAATAATTACATAGGTACAATAACTAACTGAGTACTAGCATTAACTGAAAACAAACTGAAAAAAAATAAAAGTACCGTTCTAGTGCCTAGAAGTACCTAAAACAACTTAAAAGTAAAGTAAACCTAAAAGTACCTAAAACAAATATTAAATCATGAGACAGAAATCGAACTCCAAACATCAAAAATTAAACAAAAGCAAAAACTAACGTTCCGCAACAAATAATATTCCCTGAGATGAAACGTTAAATAGTAATGTATTTAAGCAATCCAAATCGGCATAAGGTATAATTTTAACGGTATCAGTTCTACGCACTTCATAAGCAAAAAAATGTTGATTAAAGCAAATGGTTTCAAGTTCATTAATCCGAAAGTATATTTTCTTTTGGGAAGTGAAAAATATATCTCTGATGAACCCAAATTGTGGTAACAAATCAACATGCTTCACTTGAATAACAAAGTTTTTTTTATAAAAACATGAATTAATTTTAATCCAATTTGGAATGCCTACTTCTTCAGAATTTTCTAAAAACATATTCAATTCTTTAAAATTTACATGAAATTGAAGGTCTTCAAATAAGTAAAAATCACAATCTGCACATTCAATATTACTGACAAATGAAATATTACTAGTTAAAAGTCTGTAATGAACTTTTAATTGGTGCTTCAAAGCTAAAGATTTCATGAGATTTTTTCTGCAAAATGTGACGTTAGCTGTGTTTTTAAATTCTTTATGTTTTGATTCATATCTAATGCATGATATATTATTTAAAGGTCCAACCAATTTCATGATTCGCGGGTAATGAGTTAAATGGTGAAATTTAGGTTTCAAATCTTGTTTAAATAAAGATGTAAATAAACTATTATGTTCTTCTATCTCAGTTTTTAAAAGTCGTACAAGTGAGGCAGTAACACAGTTACTATGAACATGTAAAACTATATTTCTTAAGGTAATGTAGAATAGCCACACCTTATTATTAGTGGGTACCAAATCCCCAACCAAAAGACCAAAATATCTAACTAAGCAAAGCATTTCGGAAGATGAGAGGGACAATTTTGTTTTTGACTTGTCAGTTAGTTTTGGAGGTTTATTTTTAACTTCAGGTCCATAATCGAAATAGGTAATTCTGTCATTTAAAGTTTCTAAAGTAAATAATTTTGCTTCATCAATTAAATAGTTCAAAATACAAACCATGTCGTAGTGACACACACCTTCACAAAGATCGTGCATTATATCAACTGCAAAATTTTTTGTGACATGATAAGACGGTAACTTATTAAATATACATAATTCTTTTATTTCTGTCAAAGATGCGTTGTTAATTAAAACATCATTAGAATAATTTTGCTCCGTTCTTAATAAATCAACATTTTCCACAAAACATTTATGAGAAGAATTTTTATCTATCTTGCAAAACCGACAACTAAATTTAGCATTAAATGATTCTTGAAATCCAAGAATAGAGTGTAATCCTAAATTGTCTCCTAAAATTAACGTCAAAACAAAAAATACTTTTTTTATTTCAGTCCCTATTTTAACATCTATTCCCTGTGTTTCTAAAAAAAATAATTCGTCTATTAAAATTTTAAATATTGCTAAATTACCAAATTCTCTTCTATCATTGGCATTGAATAGAATTGCCAAAAAAATATTTTGCAATTGTGATCGTATTTCAGGAGGTAAACAAGCAATTGAAACATATACTCCTCCTAATTTGTTTATTCCTGCGTGGGACCCTAAGGGATTACCACTTTCAAAGTCATCATAATATAAATATAACGGAACGACAAAATCGTTTTCTGAAAATTTACTGCGAATTTCTTGGAAATGTAGTGATTGATAAATATTTGTTATAATGTCTTTAGGATCTTTTTTTAAATCCTCTAAATAATCCAAAATTTGATTAAACATTCCTGATTCTAAAAGTTTTGCAAAGATTATTCTAAGTGGAATAAATTGCGCAGTTACATTTACACTTTTAATAACTACATTATTATTTTCCGTTGCTTTACTCAAACGACTGCCTACTGCATATTCGACTGGTTTAACAAAATTTTTAGATTTTTCAAAATATTTGAAAATTTTGTATTCTGTATCATATTTCTTTAGAAATGATTCCATATACTGTATCATTGAATTAATTGTATCGATTTTATCATGGGCAATTTTGTTTTCAATTAATACTTTATTGATGTAATTTTTAAAGGAAGCAAAACTATTTAAACAGAAGTCGGTTAAATAATCCATAAATTTCTTAACAGTATCACGGGATAAGTTTGAAGCATTGAACAATTTAGATATAAAGATTAATGTATTTGTTTTAAATGTTTTTTTAAACTTTTTTTCGTCACTTTCGTCAGTGCAATTTTCACTTGAAGTGTTTGGCAAATCTTGATGTAAGGAAATATTAGGTTGGCTGTTGGAATTAGAGGTTGGATTGGCATCTTCATTATTGGAATTAATATTGTGAATACAGCTATTATCATATTTTGATATTTGATGATTTGTTGATAAATGTTTCATAAAAGATTTGAGAGTCGAAAATTTTCGAAAACACATACTTTCGACACAGTTGAATGTAACTAAATTACTGTCTAATTTTAATTTATGTTGAATTTTAAAATGCAGTATTAAACCTCGCTTTGAAGGAAAATTATTTGCACACAAGAAGCACGCCACCATTTTACCAATTTAACTCAAGTTAACAAAAAACCAACGGATAGAAAAAAAAATAAACATATAACACTCTAAATACGAACTTGAAATCATTGACAGTCTTCTAAAAACTTGAAATGTTACCCCATTAGGCAGCTAGGATGCTCAAGATGACATTAACATCGGAATACGATTTGTCAAATTTCGTTTCTAAACCAAAGATCCCTCTTTGGATAATTAACCACAAAGGCTCAGCTTCTGATGGATATTCTGCGTTCAACATATGAATAATTTTGAAAGTCCCCTCAATTGCTTTTAACAATGTTGGGACATAGTACAAATAATCGTCTACAGATATATAAAATGAGTGGAGATTGTTGATATCCTCTCCACACGCTATTGGGATAGGTTGCGATTGAAGTCCGAAGCTCATAAGTTTGGCTCTTTTTCGTTGTAGTGAGGCATGTATATCAGCACCAGCCTAAAATTAAAAATTTCAGTTTAAAAATTATAAATTAATAATATTAATGATTACATTCACTAATTACAACGATATAATCAGGACTAATTCAATATGTGCCTAAACCTGTACCACCCAACCATATTACTTTAAATAAATTAAGTTAAAGAAGTAATTTGAATTACTGATTTTAGACAAATAAGAAAGTAATTACTTACCGTAACGTGTAAAATTAATCCATCCAACATTTCTATTCTTGACGGTTTAAAGGAACTCTTATTCTTCTTCTTAACTACTAGAACTGGTTTTATCAAATAGCTTAATATTTTCAAAACGATCATTGTTTTTGAATCTAAAAATAATATATAGAATATTAATTAATATTGATATTAATCCAAATAGGATATTTAGATATAGATATAGGATTGAGGATATGGATATATATATATATATATATTACCTTCTGATAAATTATCGTTATCGAAGACATTTAAGCATTCATTTACTTCAGCTGTTTTCAATGTAGAAGCATATTTTCTTATTTTCTCTGAGAATTCAGGCCACGCTGTCAATAGTCGATTGTTTAAGTTTGGATATTGAGTTGCAAAGTCGTTTTCAAGCTAAAATTTTTAAATTTAAACGGTTATCTCATATTAAATAATATCGCGCTTACCAGGACATATCCCAATGGTTCTTTAAGCCCTTTAAATGACGTCATATAATCGTGAATGGAATTAACATCCATTAAATACGATTTTCTTGCTTCATACGATTCCGCCCATTTTGCTTCTAACTCTTGCCATGGAGCAGCATTGTTTTTAAGCCATTCAAGTACTTCTTGTTCAGCTTTAGTTATTGGTTTTTTTGTCGCATCTGCAGTTCTTCTACAAGCCTTACTTCTTAGTAAACCATTCGTTTTAAAATCTCTTCGTAAATTATAATACTTTCGAAACAATTTTCCCCCTCCCATTTTTCGAATTGCTCCTTTTCCTACTTTTTTGTAGGAAACGTTGAAGTATATATCCTGAAACAAAATAAAAAATTACAAACTAATTTTCCATATTAGCCGTAACATATAGTACAAACCTTAATTTCATTAGGAAATGTAGTAACGATAGCTGTTGAAATGTCCATAAATATTTTTTTTGATACCCGCATATTTACATTTTTGGATAGTAAATCCTCTAATATCATCGAAACCAATTTATCCCTCAAATTGTTCTTCAAGCGTTTTTCTCTTGAATAGTAGGACTTGATTTGACTGCCCATGGGTGAATTAAGAATGTTTTCGAGGGTGGCAGAGCTGTACTCTTCAACTGCATCTACGATATAAAATGTTTTATGGATACTGCAATATTTAAAAGTGAAAGAAAAAGTTGAACTAATTTTTTCTCCAAAATATACGGATATATTTTATATAATAATATATTTTATATAATAATATAAAATATATAAAAAAAAGTTTTCTTTAAGATTTCATTACGAAATTATACTTACCATTTGAATCCTCATCTGAAGATATAGCCGTTGCCTCTGAAGCTGTACTCTCTGAACAATCACTTTGCTCATCCGAATTTACGTTCAGATTCTACAAAATTAAATCGAAATAAATCGGATTGTACCACGAAAGAGATAAATAATACAGTGAATAATAATTTTAAAATACAGTGCGACCATAATAAAGGCAGGCATAATTTAGTATTAGCTAAAAAAGTAAATATTAAAAAAGTTTTGACCCGAGGTGGTCAGATTATTTAAAGCGTATTTTTGCCCTTCAAAAACCTACACCTTACCCAAATTCCTTTATCAGTTACTTATATTTACATCTATTTGTCCCAGTTAACGCCAATTTACTCAAATATTTAATTTGATCAGATCTAATTCTATGTACCCCAATTTTATCCCAGATTTAACCCATTGACACATTTAATCTATTTTTCCACACTTTACAGTTTACCCAAATTTTCTAAAATTACCCCATTTACCCAATTTGCCCCAGTTTCCAACCTATTTACTCTAATTTTCCTGAGGTCGATTAGTACGTTAGTTTTATATAATATGGAATGTGTACGTGTCTTTATGGACGCACTGTATTGTAATAACAAAAGAAATAATATTTCTCTTACCCTGTGAACGGTTAAAGGTCCAGCCTGTTTATTTATAAGAAAATTTTTATATTTATTATTAAATTTCAATTTTGCACCAAGATTTTCCTTGCACAACAGTTTTTCTATGGCCAAATCATTCAAATACAAGAACGCTTCTTGATCGATTCCGTTTTCTAAAAGAATTAACACAGTTTAATCTGTAAACTAGTTTTCCCGAACAAATAATGCCGTAATAAAATTGGGTAGTACAGTTTAGAAGTCCACGTTTTCAATTTACAATAATTTGTAAATATATTTTGTCAATGCAGTCTGATCATTTATAATATTTCAAGCAAGTACCATATTAATTTAGAAACAATCAACTGGAAATCAATAAACAATTTTACAATATTATAAATAAAAGCAGCACCACGTACAGACGGGCACGAGTACGGCATCGGTCAAAATGGCTGATGCAACAGCCACTCAAATCCTTGTAAACGAATTTCATTTATACACTTAGTCAAAAATAACCACAATCATCAGAAAATTATAGAAATAAACGAACTTATAGAGAAAATGCAAAACATTTTGCAACAGTAATAATACAATAAATAAGTAAACTTACCTTCAAATACAGGAATTAGTCTTGAAAAACCCCATTCTTCTAAAATTTCCCGCAACTCCGCCTCCATTATTCACTTCCGAACTCCGATTTAATTTCAAAACATGAATTACACACACTTGTAGGAGCAATATAAATACACTGTTAGAAAATTTTTCGCGCATAATAGGGAAATCAATGTTAAATTCTTAGCCGGCTGAAATCCAATCTACCAGTATACATTTCAATAGAACGTCGCGATAAATTCTAATAAATTTAATTGTTCTACTGGACTTCACACCGCGCTTTGGCTTGGTTAGATTAAAAATCAAATAATTTCGACGGTTTCGACACTTCGACAGTATCAAAACGGGTTCGGTTGGGTGAACGTCGAGTCAATTAAAAAGAAATGAGAATTTTTAAACGATAATTTATTGAAAAAATATCATTAATATTAAAATAGAATTATGTAGATATGTCTTTTTGCCACAATGGCTTGAAAAAGAAAGTAAATTCTAAGAAAATATTAAAAAGGAAACTCCAAAAATAAACTTAAAGATTATTTTAAAACAGAAAATAAAAGAACTCTAAAAAATAGTCTACCGCTTTCTGCTAAACTATAGCCAAATCTGCCATACATCAGATGTCATCCCATATTACTGAGCTGAGGTATAATTCTAGCTGAAAATTGAATTATTTTTTCCCTTATTTCAACAAAATTTGTTGCTGTTTCAAAACTGTACCTACCGATACACACATTTTTTGAAATATCCCCAAAAAACCTATTAATTGTAGTTTCTAAATAATTTTGTACCTCATACCTAACACAAATAACTTTGTACCTCTACAAATCGCGGCGTGCGATCCAGTAGAACAATTAAATTTATTAGAATTCATCGCGACGTTCTATTGAAATGTAGACTGGTAGACTGGATTTCAGCCGGCTAAGAATTTAACATTGATTTCCCTATTATGCGCGAAAAATTTTCTAACACTGTATAATCAACGTAAATACGTGTACTAAGTTAGTCGCATCACTAATAATACTCCCATATTTTAAATGGAAAAAGAAGCTAAATGCAAAAACTTTCAGAGAAAAAGTTTCGGTTTGGTTTCGCCATCGAGGCACGAGGAACGAGAGGACGAGGAACGCGTCGCGGTTGCGGATCGCGGAAGTCGGAAAGCCTCGCGCATCCAGACATTTCACGTTGAAGCTAACTTAAAAAATCTGTCTTTCTCACGCTGAGAAGCGCAAAAATAAAGGACAGACTGTTTTTAAAAATCTGTTGTATGTTGTATGCCTGAAGTTAGGCCTGGAAGGGGGTGATTTTTTTTCGCTGTCTCGCTGATTGCGTACCTATCGCTTCGTTATTTTTGTTTATTTTAATTTGAAAATAAAAAATCTTACCTTTTTATCATAAAAAATAGTCTAAAAGGGCGGTATGAATTCAGAGAAATTAAGAAGACCTTATAAAGACAAAATTTGATAAAACCAGGAATTTTCCTAACGGATATTTTTCGAATTAGGTATACATACAGTGTGGTAAAAAGTTCTGCATAGAATTCATATTTTCGTTAGAATTTTTTTTCTAAAAACGCTGAGACCCGTCGATTTTTATTTCATCCAGGGCACCTTCATATTTTTTTTAAATGAGAACCCATATTTTTTTCTTTCGAAATTGATAACAGTGATCATTCTCTAAACAACGCTGTGAAAATTTCCATGTCTTCAATAACAATTTTTTTGGGAAAAATGTTGTGAGAAATAAAAAAATTTCCTAAACAAAATCATTATTTCTGTTTTGGCGACAAATATATATAGTTCCAGCTGTTTCGATTAGTTTAGTTATTCGAAATTAGACTGTTTGTTACCTTAACATATATTTTGTGTTTATAACTAACAAATATCAACTAAAATCTGTTCATGTATAGAGCAAAACTGTGTTGTTGTTTTAAATAGTGTATTTGTGATTAAAAATGAAATATTTGCTCAACTAACTAAAAGTTTCCAACTAATACTTTCTTGTTATTATCGCAAACTCATTTTTTTCAGTGAATATACAGGGTGGTTCCATCTGCTATATTATTCAAATTGTATGGAAGAATCTTGTTAGTTTTGGTGAGGAATAGAAATTGTAGTAGATCGCCCAGTTTGATTAGCATAGAACGCTAATGAATTTTCCTTGAATAAGGTATGTAAACATGAATTAATTGAAATTAGGATTTTCATTTCGCGTTCGCGGAAAATTGTCAAAATATTCGAAACGTTGAAACGAAGAGAAAGGGAGTCTCGGAAGATTTCCTTTTCGCGAACAAAGACAGTTTTCAATCGTTGCGGTGGCAGCCATTATGTATTTTCACGGTCTATTTTCGGCAAGGGTTCGTCTTTCGAAATTCTAATTTTATACCCCGATTCATTATTGCATTGTGACGGCCTATTATTGTTTGAAAAGGCCCCATTACAACGGTAAATTGTAAATATTTTGCTCTCAATTTCATCTTAATTTAGATGATTTTCGTTTTGATGTAATTCGTTGTTCCTTAAAAAAACGCTCTACAAACAGACATCATTCTTCGACGTTAATTAGTGGAATAATTCAATCAATTTCATTATTTTTCGTCAGTGGCTACGCAACCAACGAATAAATATCGATTCCATGATTGGTAAATCTCCATTTGCTCTCGACCGAATGTTTAAATAATGAAGAGTCCGGATTCGCTCGTAATTAAAATTTACTGTAATATTGCCCTTTGACTGACGCTGTTCGATGGATCTCGTTAATTATTCAAGGCTCGGTTTGTTTTATTAAAGTCTGCATCATCTTAATTGCGATTCCTGTTATTGACCGACTTTCGGTTGAACATCCGAATGCAACCATTGTTTTCTGAACGTTCCCTCCATCAATCTCGTTTTTGTTGTACTTGATAGTCCAGCTCAGTATTCTCGATGAATTAATTATTGGAATTTATAATCATTCTGAACCGCTTCTTGTGTGTATTTATAACGCTGAACTGGCAACTGACTTTTCTCCCTACTTTTATAACACACTCGAAACTTCTTTTATGCTGGATAAACGTTGTTTTGTTTGTAGCTTTACATTCTAAAAAAATCATTTATATAGTCATTAAACTATGTGTATTAAAGGTTAAAATAATCCTTCATCTGCGCGAACAATCCCCCGATCTGCGAGAGCTAAACAGCGGTGAAAACGAGCAAAAAAACATTTCCGTTTGTTTCCGTGTTTATGGTCAGCGGCATGAAAAGAGCCATCAACTGATTTAGGCTCGCCGGGACAGATGTTATACTCCGGTGCTCTCCGTTTTCATTCTGCTGCTAGGCTCCGGCCTGCCAGGCCTTATCAATCCGATAAATCATCGCCGGCCATGATAAATGGCGGGCCCGCGACCGTCACTTTACGTGGAATAAATTTCCAGGAGTCTGCGGTGGTTACAGCAAAGCGATGAATTAATTTTTTTTTTGTTTTCGGTTTTCGCTTTTTGCTCCGGATTCAATTTTAAGCTCGGTATTTTTATTATTTTCGACCGACGCGGTTTTAATTCCGGAATAAACATAACTGAATATGCATTTAAACGACTAATTGTACTAATAGTTGCATTTTAGTAAAGTAATTTCTCTCTACCTTTTTTGGTATAGCATAGAGTGATTTCACCCTAGTTTTATTTTGGTGTTTTCGAAATAAAGTCTTGTCAATTTCTTCCGATAAAAGAAATGTTTTGAATTTATATTTTTTTATTAGACTGTATTTTTTTTAATTTAGTGTCGACGATTTATAAAAGGAACGGAAGAGAAGCGAATTATCTAGCCTGGCTCATTTTCGACGACATTTATCTTGTATGGTTCGTATGAAACAGCAATAATAAGGGCCATAATTCAAAAGTCTGTTTCTGTTTCTTGGCTTTCCGATGCAAAATAATCCGCGCAGAGATCTCGCTGGAAATATAAAAGGGCATTATGAGGGCCGGGGTCTCGGTGATGGCGCGTTTCTTTTCCCATTTACAGTTCGTATTCCGCGCAACAAATCTTATCGGCGTTTTGTATTTTGCCAAAGCAAAAAAATAATGTAATTTTTAAATGAGGACTACGGTCTTGAAATACATACGTGAGGAAATTCCAGATGGTAGGAATTCTTTTTGATCTCGGCGTTATTTTTGGTTTCTTATGCATAATTTTCGCGTTTTAAGATCGCATACATTTCCCTGTTGTTCTCATACAGGGTGTTTCTGAAATAAGTGCTCAAACTGTGGGAGCAAGTAGAGAACCTCAAAATATGTCAAAAACTTAAATGTCATTTTATCGAAATTTTTTGGTACCTACAGTACATGTTAAAATTGTTCCAGAGTCGATGGAAGCGAAGTCAACACTCCAGTGAAACTTTCATCATCGTTACCATGAACGCTCTTTAAAAAGTTCGTTTTATTCCACATAAAAAGGAACCAAGCGAGATGCAACGTCCGCTATCTAGAGCAGCCGCTTCAGAGGAAGAAGCTTCCGTTCTCAATACCCTGGAGGCGACGTTGTCGTGCTTGTGGATTTTGACGCCTCTGTCGGCCACTTTGTCGTTGGTACTGGTGGTGACCGGTCTGGGTACCAACCAATGGTTGCACACCAGCGAGAAGATGCCGAATCCCGCTTACAATGGTACCGGGGAGAAGGAGTACCTGCCCAAGTTGACGGTGTCCGGATTGTGGACCTTCTGCTACACGAACCGTGAGTACTTTTATGGCTTGTTTTCTCCCTACTTTTGTGCTGGAAAAGTAATTTTAGCAAGTGTTTTCTCCCTTGGTTTTTTTTTTCGAAGCAGCCTGAATATTAATTTAGAATATTTTTAACGGTTTTATATTAAATTTGTAATGAAATCAGGAGTTCGACGAGGCACGAAAAAATAACGGAGCGATAATTAAAATTAAATCGAACCGTAATTACAGCCGCCGGGATTATATTGGAAACTGCATTAATAATACCTAAGTATGTAAATGTAATTTGTCCTGAATTGTTCATAATTATTTTATCTCCACGTCGGGTCGGGAAGAAACGCCGGCAAAATTCGATGACTTTTAAATGGCCGCGGTTAATTCGATTACCGCGAATAAATTACTTGTCGTTTTCAAGCTCCTGTTTTATCGAGGTCTCGTCCTTCTTTATTCCTGATTTTTGTTTATTGAAAATAAAATAGACTCGGCGGTTTGGAGATCGGTTAAATGGGTTTTTAATTTAATTTTGTCATTCGATTTCTTTACGGGTAAGATTGCGTTATACCTACTTATTTTGCTAAAAATAGCAAAATTAACGAAAGGATAACAAATATTTAGTGACATTACTTTCAAAATCTGGAAATGAAAAATTCGATCAATCTGCTAGCTATCACCAAAAGTTATTAATTGAGAGTTGTTTGTTCAAGTATCATCGTACGCAACTTAAAGTCCTGCAAGTATCAAAGCATGTTGACAATAAATGTCAAACTTGATTTTTATTATCTGGTTAATTCAATCAACTACGTAGTTTATATCGAAATTGATGAATGAAAATCGATTATAATTAATTTTGTATTGGTAGATTACACGCGACGTTCTAAATAGCTTTTATTTATAGCCCGTTTCTACAATCAAAACAAGGCCTATTCATGCGGCATATATACACGGGCATTCCTATAAAATCGCACATTATTAAGCAAGAATTCAATTCAAACGACTGCTATACCACTATCAGCATTGTTATTCCATCAGTATTGTTCTCGGTAATGTTCTAAAATAGAGCATAGAGCATCGAAGTTTGTCTTTATGACTTGGCAAAACGGACTCCACCTGCTCTTATATGTTATACATATTCGCCTTTATTTCAATGAAGGCTCCCGAAACGAATTTAATAGGCGTACGATGTAAGTTTCGCACTAAAGGTGTTATAACTTTTTGATAGTGAATTGTTGCTTCGGTCGAACTTCCACGGGAAGTTTTAGTTAAATGTTCGCCGTTTTTGAGGTAATAAAGACTTCCCTTTTGCCTGAAAATAAATAATAAATATTCCAAGCTTCGGCTATATAACCATCAGTAAGTTTTTTATATTATATCTACTTTAGTAAACTTTTCGTATACTATTAATTAACTTTGATATACTCTTTTTTTCCATTATTAACAGAGATTACTACTGTTAATAAGTAAAATATAAGTTAATAAGACAGTTTACTGTCTTTACTTAGCTACTTTACTAATTTATTAAGAAGTTTTTTTTGTCATTATGGAAAATTTTGTATTTTTTTCAACGGGATTTTCGATATCATTCAGACGATTCTCGATTACTAAAAACGAACAAAGTGTCTGTACTTTTATAGTTTTATTGATCCCCGGTGAATGCTGAAAAGGAACGCAATCGTGCTGTGTTTTACGTGAAGCGAATTTCACAAGGCCTTTACCTTTCAGTGTCGAATGGACGCAGCCATTTTTGAAAAGTTATAGCCACAATCGCCGTAAAAATTGCTATACACGACTACATTTTTTGATAGCGCGAAGACTAAACGGAAAGCCATTAATATCTGTTGTAAAAAGTGACTGTGTGTGATATTTCACTAGCTTTGGGCTCGGAAAGGGCATATAAGAAGACTTTGTGAAGCCACTGTATAATGAAAATGCTATGTTAATAAATTTTACTGGCAAACTCTTAAGTGAATATTGATGATTTTTTAACAGAGGTGGGTCAAATATTTCTAATTCAATTAACTAACATCGCGGCTCATTTGTTAAGATAATGTATAAAAGATGTACATTCTGGCTGGTTTAATTTCGATTTCATGAGGGCTCGTTTTGCTCTCGTTGCATCGTTAAAAGTAGATTTTTGCGAAATAATACAAAATTCCGTTTATTTTAAACTTTACAAGATTTATGACAATTTTAGAAACCATCCAGAGTAGATAAGTCTTATACCCTACCCGGGCATAAAATTGACATTGCAAGGTACATTTTTCTTTTTTCGTTTTTTTTTTGGAAAAAGGTATATTTCTATTGCTCTGGGACCATTACACCTGGGCAATCTACCACTACATTGCGGATTCCCGGCGTATACGATGAAATTCCCCCAGGGTATGTACAAGCATGTCATCGCGACTCGCCTCGAAATCGCGAGAATACGATCGGAAATTCGATAATTACGAACAGTTAAAAAAAACCGCACGAGCCCATGTAACTGCTTCACACACACCCAATCATTTAATTACGATTTAAATTCATCGCAGCGTAATTTGTTATTAATTAAGAGAGCTCCATTTCCCGGTTACATTCAACCAAGTTTATTCCTGTTCCGGGGTTACAATATTGCCCGATTAAATTTCCAGACAGCTGTTTGTTGCATGGAAGTTACATGACGCTCAACGTCTCAACATTAGACCTTGCCGTATGTAGAACTTTTTCCCAGGAGTCGGATCGTTTACATGACTGTGGGATGATCCAGCCAGCTTTAAGTTGTTAATTCTCTTGCACCCACATATTCAGGAATTTAATAACCTGGCATCATGATTTTGTAGAGATTGAATGGTTTATTAGGGGCATTTTGTTTAGGACAAAGGGTATAGTCAAAAATTACTATTTTTTTGTATAGAGTGGACAAATAAGAATGGCTTTCGGTCATATCTCGCAAACTAATTGTCATAGAGACTTGTGGTAAAAAATCTTATGACTAAATTGGATACTCACCCACTGTATTTAAAAAGCCATGGAAATCCTGGAAAAATTATATCCAGTATTTTCTTTTTGCTAATTTAGTCGTATGATTTTTTACCACAAGTCTCTATGAGAATTAGTTTGCGAAATATGGCCGAGAATCATCCTTATTTGACCACGCTGTACATGCAACATAATGTTTCTTATCTAATGTGCGTTTATTAATAGGTAATTAGAGATAGACGTTTCGATAAAAATAAGAGGTAATCAATATAATTTGGGATAGTTAATTGCTATTAACTTAATAAGTGGATGATAATGGCTTAATAAACGTTTTATTGCGATCATTTTATATATCAATTACATTTTTTTGTGTTTTAGTTAAATTACGTAGGACACAATGTAATTAATCACTAATATTATCCATGGTGCGGTTTCGATATGCAATATCCATGCAACTCACTTTTCATTGTTTCGGAATACTAATGGAATTTTATTTACCTACATACGGTCTAAAGGAAAACCGCATAATTGCTCAGCTTTCATTAATTAAAATTTAATTAAACGTAGCTAATTAGTTGTAAATTATAGAAATTTGTAAATATAGAATCGGCGATTCGCGAATTCAAAGGCTTGTTTAAACAATGCAATAAAATATCCCGAATTCATTTTATTTACTTTCGACCGTATTGTTCGTGATTGTATTGTTAATAAAAATATGAAAAAGAATGCCTCGATTACTACATCAAAAGTATATGCACACAAACATGAAATTTCATTGTAAAAACTTGTTCCACTAAACACGGAACACGCGGTATATAAATGCCTAAATAAGCCTACTCGGTATATTTTTACCTTATAATAATACGAAAGAAAACTGGTTAGGTAAACTTAAACGACATTATTAACGAACTTTCATCTTTCTGTAATCTAAACTTTGTTAATTAAATTTTGTAAATAGAACAAAAAGCTCCATTCTTCGTATCTACAGCGTGTCCCAAAAACTTCAATCCCCACTCAAGTCTATCTGAAATATCAAATACACGGTATGTATTCGGAAAAATTTTGAACGTAAAACGAGTCAAGACGAGTTTAAAAGACGGGTCTTTTGTCGAAGAACTTCCTACCTGATAACTACCAAACGCGCTTTTGAGAACTTAATACTTCTCTTCTATAATAAAATGAACTCCCTCATTTCGCTTTAATCCGAATTTTATTGTCGTTTGTACCCTATTAAACTTTGTTTTCACGGACTTTTTAACTTTCGGCGATCCCGTTATGAGTGCCGATTTCGAATCGGGTTTTGTAGAACTTTATGAAATCTCTTCAGCTGCAAAAACAACGGTAATAACTAACTCGAAATGTAGGCAGATTTTCGTCGGATTATTTGGAGTGTTTGCGAACGTGGAAGCTCCGACGAGCTTTTTCTATTCCCTCCAGGACGGGTCTTTTTTTTCCTCGGAACTTTGTACAAATCGAGTGACCAATTATTTTGATAATGCGAGATGAAATAATAATATATACTCAAACGGTTGGTATGAATGAGTTTGTAGGTATAATTGTTATAGCGTTCCCGTAAATTAAAATACACTGGAGGCCTTTCAATTCGACGAAAAAAAACCGGCTATTATTTTCGTAGTTTCATATAGAAGCTAATAAATGATCATTGTTCATCGTGATGAATAGAAATTCAATTGGCTGCGGCCGTCAAGTTCCGAAAACAATAAATACACCATCCATTATTCATAAAACAATTCGACAAACACTGTGCTCCTTCCATTGAGTTGTATCGAGAGTATCGGACAGAATATGTATATCTTCATGGCTTTGGGGATATTAGCGGATTTTTTTCCAATGCTGCTCGCTCGGAAATTGAAAACAAAGAGCAATATGGTCGCTGCCAGAACACCCGACGGTTATTTAAAGCCATATAGGTTGCCATAGGATAACTGCGTCAGGCACATCATGCGATCAATAGCACAAAAATGCATTTTCTTTTGTGCATCTAAAAATATATCCTTTATACCGAAACGATAGAATAAATGCTACTTTTCGCACACAATTCACCGAAATCAACGCACTATATTTCCTGGAAAAAAGATCACCCCGAACCCGGTAATCTCTGCGACTGTCGTCCGACATGAATTTTTAATTTAAACTTGTTTCGTCGAAAAACAACGCGGGAGAAAGAGGGCGAGCGAGAGGGCGCCCTCGTAGCAGAACCACCCCCGTTTGATTTAAAACCATCCCTGGCTCAGGTCTCCTACTAAACTCACTTCTAGTCGTCGTTTCTGGCCACTAATGAAAATTTATATCGCTACAGTAAAGGAAGTTGTGATTAAATTTGAACAGTCAGACAGGTCGGTTGCAAGGGAATGAATTTATTTTGCTTAGAAAGATGAGCCGTCCCTCGGGAACACACAAATACAGGGTAATCCCTATAAACTTACCTGGCACATTTGGTACAATTTCCTAGGATATCCAGTATCATTAATTAGTATTAATTCTATATTAACGCTTTTTGTAAAATTCGAATTGCCGAATGAAATTACGAATAACACCTATGTTTGTATAACCCTGTAGGTTCATAAGAGATCGGTTTTGAAATTTCAATTTAATCAACCTTTATATGAGAAAGTTTAGAAGACATCTCAGGAAAAATATTAAAGCTTTTCACTTTGTACATCGCATTAAAGCTTGCAAACTACCGCATTAATAAAGCTCGTACAATATTATGCTTATAACGTAACGGGTGGGAATCCCCGAGCTAGTCCAAAACTATGTAGTTGTTGGTGAATCCCCGGGATAAATGGTGATGTCTTCGAGCGGAAACGCCGGGTTAAACTCCCGCATTCGGTAACTTCTTTCTCGTTGGAGTTACAGGCAAAAACTGGCCATTGACCATACCATTCCGAGCCGGCTAAAGTTTCGGGATATGGCGGACAATTAGAGAAAATTGAAGTAATTACGCTGACACTTCGAGAGCGACTAATTAGTAGTTGTCTCATTGTTCCTTGGGGGTTCTTGAACTATTTGTCACTAGTCGGTTATCTATTGTGTTATTTTAATTAACGCTTCAACGCTAAGTTCTAAACGATGGTGTTATGAGTGCGAAAACAATGCAGTAACAGTGTGTGGTTGAGGGGCGGAAAAGAAGGCAAAAAGCGCCCCTTTCGAGCCGCGAGGGTGCCGGAATAAGGAAGTAATTAGAGGGAAAAAAATGGATGAACTCGCGCCTATGGTTGGCGAGATTGAAGTTTTTTATTTGTAATCAGAATCACTGCAAAGATGGAAGGAGAGCTTTAGAACATACTTGGAAAATGCGATTTAAAAATTACTGAAATGATTTAAAAAAAATAACTTAAAGCTTTAAATACAGGGTGTTTCCGAAACAAGTCGTCAAACATTAAAAAAAATCTTTAAAAATCTAGGAATCGATTTTTTCAAAAGCTTGACATCTTGATAAAATGACGTTTAAGTTTTTGCCATATTTTGAGGTTCTCTACTTGCTCTCAAAGTTTGACGACTTATTTCAGAAATACCCTGTATAGAAGCTTTGAGAAAAAAAAATAGAAATCTTTGATAAAAGCTTTAAAAATCAATAGAAATTAGGCATCTATCAAAAACATCAAGTGAATGAAAAAAGCTTTATACATTACTCATAAAGTTCCGTAGTAAACCAAACCGAATCGATATCATCAATAAATCAACACACATAGTATATTATACACATAAAATTTTTATTTCTTCGGTACAAAATAAGATGCAAGATGGAATTCTGGTTTTACACATCGATCCGGCTACCACAGCGCCGTCATCTAGCCTATCATGCATTTGAGCGTCTTCTCCAATTTGATGCAGTCGGCGGCGAATTTCCTAATACCGTCCGACAATTTATCGGTCGCCATTTGATCTTCGTTCAACATCCATCTGAACGTCGGCTCGTCTATCGAGATCTTCTCGGCCGGCGATTTTTTCGCATTCTCCGCGCTCAATTTCAGCGGCACGCAATCGTCGCTGGCTTCCAGCTCGCCCAGCAGTTTCGGGCTGATGGTGAGAAGGTCGCAACCGGCCAGCGCTTTTATCTCCTCTGAAAAGAAAGAACGACCGATTTCCAATAAAACCACCTACTCTAAGGTGAAGTAAGGCGATAAAAATCCATCGGATACTTGCCTACATTGCGGAAGGAAGCCCCCATGACGACGGTTTTGTAATCGAATTTCTTATAATAATTGTAGATACTGGTGACGGAAATTACGCCGGGATCTTCATCGCCCGTGTAGGTCTTTTTGTCGGTGTTTGCGACGTACCAATCTAAAATGCGACCGACGAAAGGGGAAATGAGAGTGACGCCGGCTTCCGCGCACGCCACTGCTTGGGCGAAACTGAACAAAAGCGTCAGGTTACAGTGGATACCGTGTTTGCATTCCAATTCTCTAAAAATAATTCACAATTTATTCAATACTTCAGATGCATTTGAACAGTCCAGAACAATTTAGAAAGCTTCAGGACGAATTTGAACAGTTCAGAACAACAATTTAGAAAGCTTCAGGATGAATTGAAACAGTTCAGAGCAATTTAGGAAGCTTCATGATGAATTTTAACAGTCAAGAGCGGTTTAGGAAGCTTCAGGATGAATTTGAACAGTGCAGAACAAATTAGAAAGCTTCAGGATGAATTTGAACAGTGCAGAACAAATTAGAAAGCTTCAGGATGAATTGGAACAGTCTAGAATAATTAGAAAGCTTCAGGATGAATTTGAACAGTGCAGAATAATTTAGAAAGCTTCATGATGAAGAGAACAGTCCAAAACGATTTAATAGACTTAAACCAACTTACCTTGCTGCTTGTATACCTTCCCACGTCGAAGCCAATTTAATTAACACCCTCTCTTTATCCACGCCCTGTTCCTCGTACAATTTTATAATTTTTATCGCCTTCTCCACGCTCTTCTCTTTATTGAACGATAACCTGAAAGATTATCAAACGAATCATTAAAACAACCGTCGGTAATAAAGAAGGAAAAAAGGAAATTATCGAGCAGCAAAATGCAATTGAATAGCAACTAACCTCGCATCGACCTCGGTGGACACTCTTCCGGGTATGACTTTCAAAATTTCGGTACCGAAGAGGACGCACACCATGTCGAGGGCGTTTGCCAGGACATCGTCGGGACAACCGCCGAGCTTCTGGGCGTACTTCACGGCGTCCTGGATGAGGGATTGGTACTGCGGTATGGCGGCGGCCGCCAGAATCAGCGAGGGATTCGTCGTGGCATCCGTGGGTTTGTATTTCTTCATGGCTGCAAGTCGATTAGGTATTATCAATCGATGGTTGCTATGTCATGCGGAAGAGCTCTCATGTAAACCTGCTCTACAGGGTGTTAGTTTATTGAGTGTTGATACTTGCGGATGTGAATATTTGGATGATTTTAAGAAGATAAGTTAATATTAATATATGTCATAAACCTCTTAGTTTTCGAGTTACAGGGTGTTACAATTGTAGAAAAAAAATAACGTTTCTATCATAATTTTCTGATTACTCCAGATTTTTTTTTCTAAAATTGTTACACCCTGTAGCTCGAAAACTAAAAGGTTTAGGACAAATATTGATATCCCGTATTTAGCATGGAGAGTAGAGTAGGGTGGGGAATTCCTGCGTGGGATTAGAGCAGCATGCTGCATGCAAGTAACAAAATTTTAGGTGCGGATTAAAATTCGGGTTAAATTGATGAATTCAATACTCATTTAAAAAAAATCTAACGTAAAAATGGAAACATTTCAACGAATTTTTGCGGCATTATCAATTAATCGCAATGGTAAATATTGCCGAAAATCATGTACGCGTTCGAATACACACTAGGTGTTAAATTATGCACGACACAAAATGTATTGCTACACTCTAAGCAAATTGGAATTTTATTTCGCGCTCTTATTTTCTTCGAGTTTTCCGGTTTCCCATATTTTTTTCTCGCCGAACGGACGTTTTGAACGGCACTTTCCTTAATTATTAATGCGAATATCGTTTCGGAAAAATTGGGAATTCGGTAAAGGAACAATAATTTTGCTCGCTGCGTGAGCTCGGCTATGGCAAAGCCGCGTTAAAGAGCTAAATATCGTGTTTCGGCGTAAATTGTTTACACGCTGGCAACGTTGCTAATAGGTCAAGAGCAATCGTAAAATTCTACCTGCAAAGGTAGAGTGACTGTGGTAAATTTCTAACACAGTTGCCAGTTTTATAATATAGGGCGCGTTCAGGGAAAATAACCGTTGAGAAGTAGCAGTCAGTATGTTGAGTCCGATACCTGTCAACAGTTGAGTATCCTCTGAACGGTGCATTAGTGTTGTTTATGCTGCACATAGAAGCGAATAAAATTGACGCTGACTCGAACTGCGACTGTTGCCAGTCAACAGGAGCTTAGCGTTGTAGTTCAGGGAACCGCTGCAGGCAACTATTGACAACAGTTGCCAACAGTTGCGTTCCCTGAACGCACCCATTGATTTCGAAGATATTTCCTTAATAAAATATGATTTCATTAGTAAAATTATTGTATTAGATCAGGTAAATGTATGTAATGAATATAAAAGTTTTATTGCAAAAATTTTAAGTGTAAAATAAAATTTTCTACTAAACTTGGCAATATGTTCGAGTACAAGTTTATCAAATTAACCTACAAAATTGTAATTGTCACCGATGTAAGTCAAACATATTATCATAATCACACGGTTAACTTGTGGTTAATAAAAAAATTAAATGCATATAAGAAACCGCTATAACTAAAAAATTAAACTCGTCAAACTCACCCTCAAAATCCCCTGTATCGGCCACAATAGTGGTCATTTTCTTGAGTTGTTCCAAAGAATTCGACATCTTGCTCTTCTTCGACGGACGTTCTGACATAACTAAGGCCGGGTTTTATAATACAATCGAATAAATACGAATAAAATTATCGCGATAATAGGCTGTATTATGCGCCTAATAAACCTTATCTGCGTAACCAGATTCGGATTGGAATAATCGAACGGAATGATAAAACGGTTTCGTGAACTTGAAACGAACTAGCAAAGGTTATCTCGCTCATGGAACTCGCAGTGGAAATTAAAACTTAAACTCGACTTAAAGATTAATTATGTAACGTGTATGTGAGCTAATGAGCCCGGTGAATGGTGATATATCGCAGCCGGTTGTTGAGTGTATGAGCCAGTTTATTACAACTTGCAATACGGTGTGCCGGTAGCGCTGTTGCCAAAGCATTTGGGGAATTTACCCGAATATTCGGAAATAAAAATGTTTCGTCAATAATTTGAAAAAATGCCCGTAATTAATAGCATTAAATTGATAATAACAATGCATTTCATTAACCCAACAACTGATCTGAAGAAAAAATAGGACAAAAGTTAATTATTGGAAACAATTAGAATGTTTCATATTTTATAAAAAATAATTATAGAATATCAAAAAAATTATTATCCAGTTTTAAATACAGTTAATTACCACTTAACAGCACTAAATTGATATTAAAATGCATTTCAGAACTGATCAGAAGAAAAAATAACAAAAAAAATTAATTATAGGAAGCAGTTAGAATTTTTATACTATTTAAAAAATGTTTCGTGTCAGTTTTCAAAAATTCTTTTAATTAACTTTTAATTTCATTGACTTAAACTGGTCTAAGAGGAAAACACAAGGAAAAAGTATATCTAAGTACCTATTATTGGAAACAATTAGAATTTCCAAAATATTTTTTTTACAAAAAAAGATAATATTTATCCTGATATCTAATAATTACTAGAACATTGGCAACACCGAATGGGATGATTGAATTGAAACCTTGAGAACCCCTCTTTCTATCCTCTCTCGTATTGCAAGTGCTTCTCTTGCGATAACGATAAACAATTTGGGTTCACTCACACAAATTTTATAGTACCTAAATCGAACTGTTTAGAACCGTCGATACTAATTTTTTCCAGAACTATGAATAGCAAATATTTAGAACCGTTCTAAAATATTATGTTACATTAAAAATTGTATAACAAGCCAAGTTAAAGGAGCCGAGTGAAGTTTATAATGCAATAAAAATCACCTGCTGGAACCTAATGCACATCAGAATCAGTTTTTATTATTTTAAAATTTCTAGTAAAATGAAACTCAAACATGATTATCTAATATTTGTCACATCTTGCGCGTCTCTTATATCTCATATTTACTTTTATTTCGTGCTAAAACTAAAAGCTTTCGCGACGAAAGTTCGTTTAGAACTCGAAATTGTTCCTGCGCCATATCGCAGTTCAGAAAGTATTTGCATTTAGGTGGGCATTATTAGAATTTGTAACGTAAGATAATTGAATTTTGTTATTAATAACAACAACCGGTCGTATAATTGTTTTAAACTCAATTAAAACGAGCCACCCGAAATTGGAATTTCTGTTTCACGAATTCCCGCCCAAGTCTTGTTATTTCCAAAGAAAATAAATATGCCCGTAAATCTTGCCTTTGACCGTTACAAATTTCTGGAGTTCGAGAATTTATGTAGATAAATTCTCTACTAAGTTTCAAAAGAAAACTAAAGTGTTAACTCTACTTCATATAAGACACTTGCTACTAAAATTATTCATATATTTGAAGTGTTTTGTCGTTATTTACAGATATATTTTCTTTCTATTTTTATCAAAATACAAATGTAGCGTACAAATAATAATACACCGTTATTGTTGGAGAAGTTAAGAGAATGTGAAACAATATACCGAGAAATACATTCTTGCCAAAAAGAGACTTTTAAAGTGTCAGCGGAATAATGATGACGAATTATTGTCTGGGGAAAATGCTAAGACGCTGGGAAGAATAAATCAGCTTCTAAAAATGCTTCATGTGAAGCAAAAACTTTTCATTCGAAAATGGAATATGGTTTTCATAAAACCCGATACTACACGGGGTATCCCAAAATTATAAATTCCAAGGAAGATCATATTGATTAGTTCTGAGTAAATGAGCTCTAAGTACTAGATGATGTTTATCGAATGATTTTCATGCAGCAAACACGATTAAATTTGCAATTTCAAACCGCATCGAATTGGCTTTACGTGCACAATTCAACCACTCAATTGCGTTTCGGAAACGCCGAATAATTACTACAGAAAAAAAAATGGAAAATATATTCAAACAACAATATAAGTGCGCCGATTGCGATCGCGGTAAACAATTCCCGCAAAATTGTTCGATTTCCAAAACTATAGCGCGCCGATGGAAAAAAAAGGGAATTATTTACGTTGCAGCGCCGCGCGAAATTATTCCATTTTGTTGTTTTCCGACCGACGACAAATTGCGAAATAGATCGCTTTTGCAACGACCGCAACATAGGGTGAGACAGCGGTGGAACGTTCGAAAAATATCCCGCACCGGCACGGAAAATGAAAAAATAGAAAGAGTCATCGTGAGCGCGATAAAATGACGAATAAATCACGGCGGTGCACTTTCAATTGGCCCGTTTGCGCAAATGAATATTTTAATTGCGATGGAAAAGTTCAATGATGAGGGAAAAATCCGACTATGTTATTAGTAGAGGTGGAATGGGTTTTTTTGAAACGTTCCAAAGTAACGGTTATTGTGCTTTATAGTATTAGCAATGAAGTTTTTTTGATAAAATAAACAGATGTAGGTATTCAGTTTTTAAACGTAAAGTCCCATCTCGGTTTCTTTACTTGTTTCCACCTCTACGCAAATTAGGATACAGGATCGCAAATGTCCCCAGGGTAGCATCTTTACCTAATTCGTATTATTTTATGAATTAATTTGAAATACCTAATTCAAAAACCAATAAACATTGTATGCCTACTCCCAATGGAAGATCTAATATTTTTAGCTCAATTCCAGAGATAAACTTCCATTATAGAGTTTTTTTTTGCAAAACGCTCGTTCGGAAAAATGTAATGCAATAAATTTTCTTTCGAAATTTTTTTACAACAATCCACTCGTGCATGCAATTCGGAAAACGGCTCTTCGAACTAGGCCGTTCATGAAAGCCCATTTTCCCCACTGAAAGCCTATTAGAATTTTTTATATTCACTTTTTTATTATCCCCATTATGCGATGCTCTATATCAAAATTCGACCGACCCCTCGTAATAACCACACTTATTCATATTGCGTACATTTCCCGCCAGTTCGGAAAAGCGGACGAGTAAGGGTTTTTCCATTTTTCACGGTCCCAGGAGGCTCGTCGCTCATTAGACCCGATCATCGTTTACCTCCGGCGAATTAAAGTTGTTCTCGTATTAACATCCTAATGGTTTTTGATGAGTTTCCCCCGTTTTCCGATTACCGACGGTCTTCCTTTATTTTAATCACTGTCTGACATCAGGTGTGCTCGCACACACGTATAAAGAAAAACGTTTGTTAGAGAGAAAACAAAAGCTATTTGTTTTGAGCCCTTTTTGTTCCATTTCGGGCTGTTTCAATATAACCGAAGAAACGACTGTTTGTTTAGAGATAAAGATGTAACCAAACAAATACCTGCAAGATTTTACCAAAATATTTTCCTTTCTTTCCAATTAGTTACCTATATCAAGTATGCTCAACAAACAAGCGCTTTATTAAAATAACACAGCTATAATATTAGTCTTAAAGCTCAACAATAATTATGCAACCATTTTACACGAGTGATAAGAAAATAATAATAATTTTATATACAAACTTTGAATTTTGACAATTTTAACATTTTCTATCCTCCCTTGTTATTATTAAATTAAATTCTGCAAGTATTAAGCTTAAATCTATTTTGTATATTTATTTTTAAAAGTTGGGCACAATGCTTGGCAAGTATGACGCAAGTAGTGACATGCATTGATACTTGTTTTGCACCAACTGTACATTTGTATTTCTAGAAATAATACCTACTGCAAACATAGTTGCCTACCTGCTAGCATTTTGATTCGCGTTATAGAGTGCCCATCAGTAAAAACCGAAGAGTACAGCCGCGGTGCATTGGCTTCCCGTTTGGCCTAATTATTTTTCCATCTACCCGCCGTTCCATTCAAAGGCGGCTCTCCAATATCCGAGGTGTTGAGGCGGCAGTAACGCGACCGGCGGGTAACGGGGACGGCAGTAATGGGGCGGCAGTAATGCGGGCGGCGTCGGGTCGACTGAACATGGCTTTCCGCGTATTTTTATGCATCATTTAACTAGTAGATGCACACACACATATACCTACATGCGCGATGTTATCCTTTGAAAAGGGATTTTTGCGCTCCTTTTTTAGGTCAATTCCTGCTTACACGGTAAATGAGAATCGCGAAAGTGATTATGCTCCCTCTTTTTCCCGGCGAATAAAAAGATACTGATGTATTTCCAGTGTATTAGGTGAGTTACACAACCCTTCTTTTGTACAGTCCCTTCATAAAATCACTATGCTTGGTTTGCATCAACAAAGCTTCTACTTGACTGCAAGTATCTTGATATGTAGCACGGCTCTGTATAATTTAATTTTTTATTGACCCTCAGGCTATAAACAAAACGAATTATACGACATATATTTTGTGTATTAAGTCTTCTTCGCAATCAAGAAAACAACAAAGCAACGATCTCTGGCATATCCGTCCATCCTGAATTTATTTGCGCCAGCATCTCTGGCATACGGAGCGAAATAAATGAAATAAAAGAACGGGACGTGGCGATTTTAACCACACACTGAGAGGAATATGAATTTCCGGGGTGCCGTTTCGCACCGCGCATTTTGATTTAACACTTCGGCTGCCGCCATAAAGGGCCGCTTTTCGGTTGTCTGTTCGCTCGGGTGCTATTCGCGATCAATACCAACGAATGTCTAGGCGATCTAACTGTTTAGTTTTATTGTTGGTTTATTGCGAAAAACCGGCCCCAACGGAGCGGGGTTAATATAATAAAGAC